GCCCTACTGTTCAGATGAAAGGGGCTGGGGGGAGCCACGCTGCAGAACCACCGCCACCTTCAGAACCACCAGCCTCCGCCCACAGCCACTCCTAGAAACAACTTGTAGCTCTGGCCTCATGGGCGGTGCAGCGTCCTTCCTGCCAGCTGGTCCTCTGAGCTGGGCAGGTGGTTAGAAGAGGTGGTCCTCATGGAGGACACCCCACGGGCACCTGGAGACAGATGCTACCTCCTGGCTAGGGGCAAAAGGCAGAGGTGAAGGGACTTGAGGCCCTGAGGTTTGGCGGTAACCTTAAGCCAGGGTGCAGTCCTGGAGGGGAGGAACACTTCAGGCCGCGTCAGCAGATCTGGATTATAAATCAGTCCGACAGCAGCTTTTGTTCTGTGTTAAAACTTGGCATCTGAAAAGTGGAGACCAGAAGAGTGGTGGAGATAACTGAGAAAAGCAGCCCAGTTTGGTTTCAGTAACAATCGGGTCTTTGCTGGTACACATAAAGGCCCCTTCTCCCTTGCTGGCCAAAGCCACGTTTCCCAGCTCTTTTCCACTAGGAAAAAGACAAACGCTGTGGCCTTGGAGATGCTGCAGATAATGACTGTGGGGTGGGCAGGGAAGGCCTCCTGCTTCAGCTGACAAGGTGGGAGAAGATGTGTCACCCTCGTGTTGATTAGAGACCCCCATCTATTCAAGCGGGGGGGTAAACTGAGACGCAAGGGCCCTCACTTGTGTTCTGTGATTTAGATTTTTGCAACTTGTCTTGATGTACATTTTCTTACTCCACTCTTTAAAAAGTAAATAATTTGGAGGGCTGAGACAGGAGGATCACTTGACCCCAGGAGTTCAAGACCAGCCAGGGCAACATACTGAGAGCCTGTCCGTACAAAAGAAATTATTTTTTTGAGACAGAGTCTCACTCTCTCGCCCAGGCTGGAGTGCAGTAGCACAATCTCGGCTCACGGCAACCTCCACCTCCTGGGTTCAAGTGATTCTCCTGCCTCAGCCTCCCAAGTAGCTGGGATTACAGGTGCCTGCCACCACACCCGGCTAATTTTTGTATTTTTAGTAGAGACAGTTTTCACCTTGTTGACCAGGCATGTGCCACCATGCCCAGCTAATTTCTGTATTTTTAGTAGAGATGGGACTTCGCCATGTTGGTCAGGCTGGTCTCGAACTCCTGACCTCAGGTGGTCCACCCGCTTAGGCCTCCCAAAGTGCTGGGATTACAGGCGTTAGCCACTACACCCAGCTCCAAATTTAAAAGAAAAAAAAAACTAGCGGGGCGTGGCTGTGTGCGGTGGCTCACACCTGTAATCCCAGCACTTTGGGAGGCCAAGGAGAGTGGATCACGAGGTCAGGAGATCAAGACCATCCTGGCTAACATGGTGAAACTCCGTCTCTACTAAAAATACAAAAAAATTAGCCGGGCATGGTGGCGGGTGCCTGTCGTCCCAGCTACTCGGGAGGCTGAGGCAGGAGAATGGCATGAACCCTGGAGGCAGAGCTTGCCGCGAGCCGAGATTTCACCACTGCACTCCAGCCTGGGCGACAGAGTGAGACTCCGTCTCAAAAACAAACAAAAAACTAGCGGGGCGTGGTGGCATGCATCTGTAAGTCCCAGCTGCTCAGGAGGCTGAGGTGGGAGGGTGGCTTGAGCCCAGGAGGTTGAGGCTACAGTGAGCCATGATTGTGCCACTGCACTCCAGCCTGTAGAGCGAGACCCTGCCTTGACAAAATAAAAATATAAGTATTGTTACTCCCCTTTTGGAGATGAGTCAAAAAGATTAAACAACTGGCCCCAAGTCATGGAAATAAAAAGGTCAGAATTTCTTTTTTAGAAATGGGGTCTTGCTCTGTTGCCCAGTCTGGAGTGCAGTGGCACAGTCATGGCTCAACGTAACCTCGGACTCCTGGGCTCAAGCGGTCCTCCCCCGTCAGCCTCCCAAGGCTACAGGTGCATGCCATCACACACGGGACAGGGTCTCACTATATTGCTCAGACTGGAAAGGTCAGATTTTTAAATCAGGTCTTGGGACTCCCAATTCTGTGTTTCCACAGTCGCCATCTATCCTGACAATGCTCTGTTTCATGCTGTTTTTCCTCACCTTCAATACTACTCCCCCATCCCCCCACCTCTAGGTGTGAAGGTTGCCAGGTAGAGACCTGAGCTCTCTGGCTCTGACTCCAAGGTGGCCTCAGTGGAAAGTTTCAAAAGGCAACCGGTTTGGTTTCACTGGCAGGGCAGCGGCAGGCGTTTGGGTTCTGGAGGCCCAGGGATGTAGAAGCCTCCAGCTAATAGACTCCACGTGCTTATCCTCCCAAACAGTCTCAGAAGCTCCCAGCTCCCTCCCCTTTTCCACCTTCAGGCACCTCCTGCTGTATCCCGTCCATTCCGGCACTGGCCCTTTCTGTGGGGGTGGGCAGAGGATACAGTTTCCTGCATGGCTACTTGCTCATGATTCATACTTCTAAATGAAAGTACAACGGACAGAATAAAAGGATTTCTGGGTCTTCGATTAAGACAAAAATTACTAATCCATGTACTGGGGGTGTGGGGAGGTGCATGTACCTGGCTAGTCTCCCTAGGGCCTAGCATATTCTATGGAAGGTATCTGCACTTTGGGACTCAGGCAGTGACAACTGCTTGTGGTCAAGGAAAGACTGAAATTGTGCTAAATGCCTCTCAAGGGTCTTCAGAGATCACCCAGCAGCTCAGGCCAGCCCCTAGAGATGACCTAGGAGTCTCTCCTGAAAAGCAAGTCCCCTTCCCCGTCTCTTGATGTTGGTTGTGGGCCACACTGCCCTTCATTTGAACTACTCGCCTGCCAGCTCTCCTGAGGCAGCTGGAGGGAGGCCCGGGGTGGATACTGGGTTCTCTGGTGAACGCTGCCCGGTGGATTTCCAAGGCAGCCAGGACTGCTGTCATCCCCCAGACGGGGAAGTGAGAAAGCCTGGGTCAGCTACCCTTCAAGGGTCTTTCTGAGCGCCTGGGGACCGCGGTGACTGGGGACATGGGCATAGGAAAAGAACTCTCCCTCCCTACTTCCTCCAAAGGAGAGTTATCAAAGCCGCCCACCTGGGACGCCTTTCCCTTCCCAGCCCCTCCCTGTCACCAGGACCAAAAGGAAGCAGGAAAACATCCGTCATCACAGCCCCGGATGCGGATTTTCCAGTGGCTCCTATCAGGATATCCCTCAGCCTTTTCCCAAGGGCTTAGGGATCTGGAAAAGTCAAAGATCTGGAGGGCAAGTGGTCATCGTGCCAGCACCACTGTGAACATCTGGACCTTGGGGAGGCTGAGTCTAGTTTTAGAAGAAATGGTCAGCTCCCAGCCAGTCCCAGAGAGGGCCCATTACACACCCCAGGGGACAGCATATGCCCTTGGGCGACCTCACAGTGCACACCTCTGCTCGGGTTACAGCCAGGTCTCTGGAGGGACTGAGCCGTCACCGACACCTCCTCTCCCCTTGGTATCTATTTCTATCTTGGGGATGAGTGTGTTTGGGGAGCAGGAGAGGAGGGGACAGTGGATAAGAGCCAGGACTGGGGAGGAAGGCTCCAGTGACCAATGCTGATAGACAGCTCGGCTCCTTCTCAGAGCCAGGTAGGGCCACCTTCCAGACCTGGAAACTCCCGTTTAGCCTCTCAGGCGTCCCTACTTCCTCTTTGCCCTTGGCAGTAGGAACAAAGAAGGGAAATTTCAAAGGTGATTTCCAGGTTTCCAGAGAAAAGTGAATAGTTACAGATGAACTGTCAGTGCATGCCGTGTGGAGCAGGGCAGCCCCGAGGGCGGGTGGAGGAGGCTGGCTCACCAGAGTCCCTGCTTGCTCACTGGAGGATCTGAGGTTGACCTGATGCTGCTGGGGCTTCGGTGGTGCCCGGGCCATGGGGGCATGTGACGCGGCCGGAACAGAAACCAGAACTCTCACAGAGGTCACCTGGCACCTAAGTCACCCTGGCCGAGGGTTTCTTCCACCTCTCGTTTGGCAAAGGCTGCCAGGCAGAAAGGCGTCCAGTGTGGTATCCAGTAGTACTGTGCTGTGCGTGTGCCCCTGAATAATAGATGCCTCCAGCTCCTGGCGTTCTGGGGACGCAGTGAGTGAGGCAGCTGTCTGAAACAGCCCCAGAGCTGGTGAACTCCACTTGGGGTCTGCACGTGGAGCCACTTGGCCTGAAAGTCCTTTATTTTGGGGGAATCTCTCCTAGTTAGCCCGCCCTCCCTATCCCTGTCCATGAAAGCCAAAGAGAGGGACTCATAAAAGCAGAAGAGTTGTACGCAGCCACCGTGGGAGCTGGCAGACAGCCAGGGTTGAGTTGAGGAGTGGACACAGTCCAGTGTGGCAGGGGCAGTCCTCTGCCACTGCCTAGCTACCTTTTGTACCACCTGCAAAACCCCATCCAAACCCAGGAAGGGTCAGGAGGGGCCAGGGACTAAACATGGATTCTCAGGGTTGGAGGAGTGTGTAAAATAGATCTCCAGCGGTATCCTGGAGCTCAAAGGGCCACTCACTCCTCAAGGCGTTCAGGTCAAAACTACCTAGGACCCTATCAGGAATCAGGTCCCATGAACTCATCTGGGGCAAGTCAGAGGAAAAGCAAAAGCAGCATCTGGAAGTGGCTTCTGAACCGCCCCCACTCCTGAGGCTGGGGAGTTGATTTCAGAGCTCAGCACTAAATGGAATTAAGTGTAATTACAGCCCTGATCCACATTTCGCTCTGTGCCACCTCCTCAGCAGGGGCGGGGAATGGGGAGTGGTCCCACACTGGGTCCAAACAAACGTCCCGTTCCTGGGTTTCGGACAGCTCTTGGGCCACAGTGGGCTGTGGGGAGCACTGCCCCTCCCCGGGGACTTGCAGACAGCCCTCTGCTACAGGCGGGGCCTGGGCCTGCCCCAGTGCCGTAACTGTGGAGCTGAGAACCCAGCGAAACACAGGCAGGAGCATCAGGAGACTGGACGCTGGCATGAGCCCTCGGGACAGGGACTGAAGGAAGTGTTCTAAACCACTGATGCTGAAAGACTTTAATGTGCACAAAGAAACCTCACATTGGTGACAGGGAGAGAGAGGAAGGAGGGTGGGGAGGACGGAGGCCCAGGGAAACCAGAGCTATGGAGACAGAGGCCTTAGGGAAGAGGAGGTGGCTGGGAGGAGGGCTGGGGGTGGGCGAGGCAGAGAAGCCCATCCCTTGCTGAGAGGAGAGGGGATCAGGGCGGTGGCAGAGGCAGGCTCTTGCTTCATCAGGCTGGTCAGCATGTGGCCGCCTCTGGCCTTGATGCTTCGCTTCCTCCAGTTCCCTGAGCCTGTTCACTTCCTGCTGGAGCCAGGAGCCCTGGGCTGCCCTGACCCTGCTCTTTTAGATGTCTTTCCAGGGGCTGAAGTACTGGGCCTGCGGCGAGAAGAAAAGCAGGCTGTGAGGGCCTGGGCCCAGGTGTTGCCCACTGCCCTGCAGGCCCTGCAGCTCCCCGGGCTGGCGGTGTCCATTCAGCACCCATTGCAGGCTCATGCCAGGGACCGAGTGAGCAGGATGCCTGGGTTCACAGTGCTGGCGAGGACACAGCGGTCATCAGGCTACGTGACTGTACAAGTGGTCTGCCAGGGCCCCCCTGCCAGGCCCTGAATCACTTTTCCTTCTTCTCGTGACAAGCATGCTGCTCCCACCAGAGGCTGGTGAGATCTAGTTCCTTGGGGCGTGAGGGTGAGGTTTGTTCTCTAGCCTTCTCAGAGACTTGGTGAAATCTGAGACCCAAACCACAGGCTGTGGCCCACGTGTCAGCCCTAAGTCAGAGGTTATGGGGTAAGGACGGGAGAGGAGTCAAGAGGAGGCAGACTAGGAGTGGAGGGGCACTGGTGGTGGGGTGGGAGGTGGTCCTCACAGGTCCTGTGCCCCTCCACAGAGGGCTGGGGGCTCAGGCAGGGAGACCCCGAGCCGGCCCAGCAGGGTGCTGCTTGGAGACATGGGGCTGGAAGGGAGGGCACTAGCACAGGGGCTGAAGTTGGTTAGGTCGGAGGCTTGGGAGTCAGGCTGCCTCATGCCCTGATTCTGACATTCACACAAGCTGCCTGCGTCACGGGGGTAAGCCATCGAGCCTCTCAGGGCCTCTGGTTAGTCTGCTCCTCTGTAAAATGGGCTCCTGGTAACACCTGCCTCATGGGGGTTGTGTGGGTTCTTATAGAAACAGATCTTCATTCAAGAAACACTAGCTGTGAATATCACACCTACAAGCTCTGAAGACTCGGCGGGGGTAGGGGGTGTAGTGGAGAGGACCCAGGCAGCCTGGGAGCCTTCCTCCTAACACAGCAGGAGGCCAGCCTCAGGCCCACAGCACAAGTGGGCAGACGGTGAACAGCTGGGGCCCCTTCCTGGCACTGCTCGTGACAGACTGGCACTCTGGTCCGGACTTTTCCCTCTCCAGGACAACTTTCCTTTGCATTTCCTGAGGACTGCGCTTCTCTGTGCCCCTCCCCTCCGCACCCACCCTGGGCACTGGATTTTTTTTTTTTTTTTTTTTTTGAGATGGAGTCTCGCCCTGTCGCCCAGGCTGGGGTGCAATGGCGCAATCTGGGCTCACTGCAACCTCTGCCTCCTGGGTTCAAGCAATTTCTCCTGCCTCAACCTCCAGAGTAGCTGGGATTACAGGCGCCCGCCACCATGCCCGGCTAATTTTTTGTATATTTGGTAGAGACGGGTTTCACCATGTTGGCCAGGCTGGTCTCCTGACCTTGTGATCCTCCCGCCTCGGTCTCCCAAAGTGCTGGGGTTACAGGCGTGAGCCACCATGCCTGGCCTTTGGCACTGGATTCTTGATAAGAATGATGAAGGCCCCTCAAGCATCCCCACCCTTCCCCCACATGCCCGCTCCACCCACGTCCCTGCCAGGAGCTCAGCAGCTGCAGCGAGGGTGGCTGCGCTGGTGGCTCTGGCCAGCCCTGCCTGACCACTTCCCGCCCCTCCCAGGTCTGGGGGCTGGGGGGGCACCACCTGGGGCTGGCAGTGGGTCAGAAGCTCCTGCCAGCGGATGTAGGTCTGGGTGGCCAGGTCCTTGAGCATGGTGTGGTGCGTGGCCTGGGGGCTCTCCCGGATCTGTGCGCTGATGTGGCGATCCAACTGCATGCACAGCAGCTGCAGCTCGCCCTGTGGAGGCGGAGGGAGGCCGAGAGGCGAGTGTAGCACGAGCCAGGCACATCCAAAGCAGGGCAGGAGGAGAACAAATTCAGACAAAGGAAGGGGCACATTTGAGTGACTGTTCAGAGGCTGAGCAGGAAAAGGAGGACGGGGCCAGCACAACTGCTAGGGCGCTGGTCAGTGTCCCTTGGGAATGGCTCGGCTGGTGGGGCACCGTCGGGAGGAAGAGGCCCTGGCTTTCCCGGGCTGGCTTCTCTCTCAGCCTCCTGCTCTCTGCAGTTCCTAACAGTGGGCTGGGCGCCATCCCAGTCAACCCCACGCCACTTGGGGGAGAAGACACAGCTGGGCACCCCCACCCCAACCCCGGCCCTTGGGAGACTCACCCACTGGTCTGGAGTGACGTCCCGGCAGCTGACGACCACCCCGGCCAGCGTCAGAAGGCTGTGGCACAGGTAGCAGGCCTGGAGGGAGAGCACAGGGGGAGCTGCTTCTCTAACTCCGCCAGGGCAGCACGGCAGGCCAGGGCGGGGCTCACTCCACCCCTAGGCATTCAGCGACAGTTTCCAGGGAGGCATCTTCAAGGCGGCCTGGGTGAGCCAGGCTCTGGGCCCGCACTCACTCGAAGCTGTGACTCCCTAGCAGGCTCTCCCAGCCTGCCCTCTGATGAGGTGCCAACCTCCCTTCCTCTAGAAAACGGACTCAGCCATCCAGAAACACACACTGTCCCCCAGCCTTGTGCCGGGACCACAGAGGACACCTTCTGAGAGGAGCGTATCCACTCTGACCTCCGCAGTCTCTGTTCCCCGGGCCACCCTTACCCGTAGGTACTGAGGCCAGGGTGCCTCTGTGCAAACAGCAAAGGGAGCCCCCTCTGGGGGGATGTGGCCCATGGCTCCTGGACTCGGCTTACCCCTTGGCAGAATGCCACCTGCACCAACACGGGTGTAGCCTGCCTGGACAGCCTCCTTGCTGACCCGAGGAGGCAGGTGGAGAGACGGGAGCCGATGGTTCTGGCTGAGTGTCTGCACACCTCGCCTCCATCCTCATTCCTGCCAACTGCACACTCTCAAGCAGTGAAAACAGGACGCAGGCCTGCTCCATCTGGCCCGAGAACAACTTGATCTTGAGGCACCCTCGGACTCTCTTGGTGCCCATTCGCTTATGGGCTACGTGCTTGCCGTTTAAAGAAACCAAGTCATGGGGAGTGTCCCAGGGTGTGAGGCTCCAGGAGGGACGCGGCCTGCTCTGGAGTCCCAGTCACTGCCTGCAGGTGCGCCCTCCACTCAGAGGCCCCGCTGCCTTGTCCTCTCAGCTCTCTCTTCACGTCTAGGATCAGGAGGCGGCAAATGACCAGCCCTGCGGACAAGCAGGGGTGGGAGAGGTGGGCTCTAGAGATGCCGGCAGGTGACAATGGGCTGGAGCTCAGAACCAACCCATGGCCCAGCTTCCCCTGACCTTATCACCCTGCCCTCCCAGGGCGCCAGGCAGTGCCTCAGCAATGGCTACAGCTTCTTTGCACAGGCCCAGGAGTCTCCTCAGGGCAGAAGCCAGACCGCTTCTCAGGGCATCAGATTTGGTGCCATCAACTGACTTCTTAAACCCAAATACCGGCCAGGCACAGTGGCTCACGCCTGTAATCCCAGCACTTTGGGAGGCCAAGGAGGTAGCCGGGCACGGTGGCGGCGCCTGTAGTCCCAGCTGCTCTGGAGGCTGAGGCAGGAGAATGGCGGGAACCCGGGAGGCGGAGCTTGCAGTGAGCCGAGATCGCGCCACTGCACTCCAGCCTGGGTGACAGAGCGAGACTCCGTCTCAAAAGAAAAAACAAAACCAAATACCAGTGTAAAATCCTGAGGTCAAAGGCCACCTGAGGCTCCCACCAGCAGCACCCACCCTGCCTGGGACCCAGCCTGTTCTTCAACACAACCGTGAAGGCCCACGGGCGGTCTGACTCCATAGGCTGACCATGTGGCCCTGCACACGGCACGCAGAGAAGACACGGTGGGGGAAACTGAGGCATGCCTCCAGGAGAGCTGCCGTGGGGTGGGGAAGACCCAACCTCTGTGAAGCCCAGCTCCCTCTACCTGCCGGGTCCCTGTAGCAGCCTGTGGGTGCCCCAGTCGCCCGGCCCAGCTGGCCTGCTGGTGATGCACTGCTGGCTCCCTGAGCTCCCCTTCCCTCCCACCTGGCCTTGCCTTTGGGACTCTGTCCAGCCTTCGCAGTCCTGCAACAGCTCACTGCCCCTTGTCATAAAGCAAGTTTGGGCCTGCGTGCCGGACACTATACCTTGACTGAGACACGGCGACGTGAGACACTCAGGCATTAGAGGGAGAAAGATACTTCAGGAGGGCAACCATTTGGTCAAGAAATAACATATCTCTGCTTCTGCACTGACCAAAAGGAGAAAGGGCCCTTCCAGGGGTTTGGGGGTATGGAGAGTACAACTTAGAGGCTTCAGGAAGTGACTAAGCTAAAGTGAGCCCCAAAGGAACAGTAGGAGTTGAGGCAAAGATGGCCCTGTGCAGGCAGAGGAGGGCTGATGACAGACCCTGAGGGCGGTTCCAGAACCAGAGGCCGGCACAGGTGCAAGGGAGTCAGGGTGACCTGGGGGCAGAGTTGTAAGGACAGGGGGTGCCTGGGGGAGGCAGGTGAGAGAATGTGGCCACACTGGTGTGCTGGAATGTACTAGGTAGTAGGAGAATGAGCTCCCTCTGGGAGAAAGGATTACAGGCTAGCCTTATCTTTCCTTTTTCCTTTTTTAAGATTATTTCTCTACAATGTGTATACTCATACAGTGAGAATACAATGAAAGTTGCTTTAAAACTTTTTTTAACAAGATACTGCCAACTGTAATTGACTGAACCTAACTGGGTTTGGGGTGGGTGTGAGGCCTGGGAGCGGGACTTGGCCATGAAAAGAAGCTGAGACCCAGGCTGGGTGAGGTGGTTCATGCCCGTAATCCCAGCACTCTGGGAAGCTGTGGCGCAGGAGTTGGAGACCAGCTTGGGCAACACTGCGAGACCCCGTTTCTACAAAAAACCAAAAAGTTATCCAGCATGGTCACCTGTAGTCCCAGCTACTTGGGAGGCTGAGGCAGGCGGACGACTTGAGCCTGGGAGGTTGAGGCTGTAGTGAGCTCTAATTGTGCTATTGCACTCCAGCCTGGGCAACAGAGCAAAAACTGGTCTCAAAAAAAAAAAAAAAAAAAAAGCTGAGGCCCGTCTTTGAGAGGGCAAGCGAATGATGAGAGGTGGCAGGGGATGCCGAAGAAAACATCCAAGGGTTATCAGGGACATCACTGAGAATGGCTGGGGGAGGCACCCTGGGGTCTGCAGGGGAGACTGTGTGGGCCTGGGAGGGGCGAGCGGGGGCCCGTCTCTCTCGGACCTTTCAGTCGTAAACACTCCCAGCCCCGGGTGGCGCAGCTCAGTGGCCCGCTCCACCCATGCGCTCTCAGGGGAGTCTCCCCGTATGGAGGGGGCCCGGCTGCAGAGCTTCCCCTCCTAGAAGGAGTCGTGGGGAGGGTCTGAGATCTGACGAATGCCCTGGAGGAGTATCAGGGAGGAAAAATCCGTCAGTGGACTGACCCCAGGCAGTGGAGAGTTACTGGTTTCACAACTTGTTTCTTATGCTGATTCCCATAATTGAATCTGCAGGGGGCAGGGAGGGGGAGGGGAATCCCAGGAAAACGATTCCCAGTGTTTGGGTGGACAGTGAGTAAGAAATGGCAGTCCTGGAGAAAAGCCCTGTGAACCACATTTTATCAGCTGTGTTTTCCAAAGGGAAAACACGAAACCTACCACATTGCCTGGAGGCTGGGTGCGCGTCCTCCTTGCATTTGAGGGTGCTTCCTGTAAGGAAGACGTTGACCCAATTTAAGGAGCTTGGTGGCTGTGCAGATGCCCTCCCTTGGAACATTTCCGGGGGCCTGACTGAAGCTGGGTTCCCAGTAGGGATTTGGAAAAGCAGCCTTCACTACTGGCATAGGAAGTGCCAACACTTCCATCTCCTCCCTGCATTTCCCCAGGACTCTTGGTCTCAGAGTTGCAAAGAGGTAAGAGAGAGTCTGATCCTGTCCAGACAACGGGCGTGGTGTCCCCACCCTCCCACGAGGCCCCTCTCTCTGTGTGAAGGTCAGAGGAACAAAAGCTCAGCGGAAACTGGGGACTCTGTGACCGGGAGCAGGCAGACCCTGAGTCTCCCCATCTAAACCGCCAGCGGCTGTAGACACCCGAGTCGCCCAGCCCAGCTGGCTTGCTGGTGATGCACTGCTGGCTCCCTGAGTTCCCCTTCCCTCCAACCCAGCAGGGGCAGGCACGGGAGGGGTGCAGGGCAGGCAGGGGTGGGCCCGAGTGAGGGGGCCCTTCCCAGCAAGACAAGAAGGGCCAGGTGTGAGCGCTGCGTTTCCTGCTTCCTTCGCAGTGTGACCAATTCCTGAACTTAGCAAGCCTGCTCCTGTCCTGGCTGGCACTAGAGGCACGGTTCCTCTTCCCTTCCACCAGGCAGGAGAGAGAGGCTGAGCCAAGGCTGCAATCCCTGCCTTACCTGCTTCCTCTCCCTCTGGGAGCACAAGGTGGCCCTTCTATATGCCAGAGGGAGGCCCTTCCAGGTCTCTTAGAACTGCTTGGTGCGGTGGGGACTTCACTGTGGCCTCAGGGTTAGCCCTCCTTGGGTGCTGGGGGCTACACTTGTCCAGGCCTTAGGACCTTGTCTGAAGATGGGACCCAGCTCCTGCCCCACGGCACGTCAGTCAGGCTGTGAAGCCCTGATGGGAAATGGGACCCCGGAAACCTCAGTCAACATCATGGGGAAAGGCAGAGTCTAAGGGCATGCCTGGACCCAGTACTGACAAGAACAGCCCGGCCCATCCCTGCCACCGCTGCCAGCAAGCGCCCAGCTCCCGTGTTCTGGGTCTTCCCCGGAGTCTGGCGGGCTGGCTGTTCTCAGAAGTTCCACGCAGGAATGCCTCACTCCTGACTCTGGAGCCTTCACGGGGGCCGTGCCCTCCCCCTGGGGAAGGAATGACAAGGCTGAGTGACGGCAGACAGCAGACTGGGACTGTCACCAGAGGAAGGGAGGTCAGCATCTCCATGTTCTGGTCCAGCTAGTTCTGACCCCAGGCTCCCCCAGCCAAGACTCCCAAGTCAGATAGGAGCGATTAGCAGTGCTTTTGTCATAAGCAAAAGGGAAAAAGGGTGGACATTTCCCAGGAACTTCATCCTTTAGGAAATTCCCCTCCAGCCAACGCCAAGGGAGCGGGCTGTGGCCTGGGCTATTTACGCTGAAGGAGGGCAGGAAAGGAGGACGGAGAGGCTCTCCCAGGAAGCCACTCGCTCTGGCCAGAGCATATAACCTTTCTCCCCGCTCAGGTCATGACCAAGAATCCAGTCTTAACCCTGGACAAGCCTTCAAATCCAGCCCTCTCCTGGAGGCTGCCAGACCGGGTGGGGAAGGCAGACCTGCT